TCCGTGACGCTACCTGACTGGGACGTCCTGGGCGTTGGGTCACTCGATCGATGCCACTAGGGTATTTACTGGGTCGTTGTTTGAGACATCGGGTCTACCACCTGCATCACTTAAGCATGTTTGCTAGTTCAGACATGAAGATCCAGATTTGTGTAGTGTGCGCTGGTGGAGTAGTGTTGACACACTCGCCTCGCATGCCAACCACCAACAAGCAGTAACAATAACAGTAATAATAATGGTAGCAATAAGGATAATGATAAGAGTAAGAATAGTGTATGGAACGTATAAACAAGTCACTAAATGAAACCTCTTTGGGTGTTATGTTCTTGAAGACAAGACTAATGTCAAGATCATTTTCTTTTGGCTTCAAGGGAATCTAATGAATTCAGTATTAATTTTTTCTGTGACCAACAGCCGAGAATCGCCACCAGGATGTGAAAGTCTCTTGGTGGGGCTCGAAACATAACTAAACTCAGCTAGTTCACTGCCCGAGGCCGTAAAAATGGTTCATATGTGCCACTTTATTGCAGAGAATTTGCTGAAAAAAGAAATTAAAGTAACTTTCAGATTGTTTTATCTGGGTTCTTAATTTATTGCTCACCGAAACGTGACCCAACAACAAACTGCGCTGAGGCGTACCATGGATGCGAAATTACGAAGACTAAACCCCTCTTGATATTGATTCCGTAGTATGAACAGGCATAAGGAAGTGTACACATTCTGACACCGTTATGCGGAAGACCGATACAGTTATTTCGAGGAACCTCACAACTGTGCGGTTAGCGAATTCGGTCAGCACGTGCAACGGATAGTGCGCTGTTTGAATTTTTTTGTCATTGGTTACGCATCCTTTTTAGTTTTGCGGAAAAGTTTGAGAATGCAATCTGAGGTTGGACGGAAGAGGAACAGTTCATTTCCTAATTTCAATAATCATGCCTGATAACAACTGAATTTTAGAAGCACGACTCAACCCGTCTTGCATTTCTGATTCAATAGCACCCCTTTTGGTGTTTTGGAACATTGTTCCTGATGGGTATTCTGCAGTGAAATTTTGGTGTCAGGTTTCTTTGCACGCAAGTATCATTATCGCGGTTAGCTGGCGCACTTCGCCAATAAAAACTACCCATATTGGTCTAAGGTTGCACTTTCCATTTGAATGTCATTGTGGGTAACTGGCTGCCGCCCCCCACTTCTTCAAATTTTAGCACTCATATCGCTAGGTGCAATGGAGATATTCGGTGTCCTGCTGTCCCAAGGCTGCAAACTCCACATAACGCTGACGAGCAATCAACTGAGCAATGTCGTGCCTTCAGCTGGATTGAACAGTGCTTCAACATTCGCAAAAGCGAAGGCCTCGTAGGATCGATGACTAGACAGATCTGCTGGAACCAGACTCCACATAACACTGACGAGCAATCAACTGAACAATGCCGTGCCTTCAGCTGGATTGAACAGCCCTTCAGCATTCGCAAAAGCGAAGGCCTCGTAGAATCGATGACTAGACAGATCTGCTGGAACCAAAACGGCAGCAACCGGCTAGTCCATTACCAACCAATCGGATAAAGACCTGGCTATTTTGAGAGGAGCACATTAACTTATGTGTACTCAATTCAAGTAACATCCAAAAAAAGTATTTTGATATGCATATCTGAGCACAATCGTTTTTTAAAAAATGTACTACACTTCTGTCACCCAGTTGTCGCAAAAAGTCTCAAAGCATCGGTGTTTCCACATTTCAAGTAATCGACGGTTCCTAGTAGAACTTGGATAACCCACAGGGTACCAAATCTCTGGGAAGATCAGCGAACTTAAGACGAAACCAACCGTGGGCTGTCAAAGAGTTCTCAGCAACCTTGTGAGCAGTTTCCTCCACGCAAATATACTGTGATATCTCGAATATTGCACCAACTGAAACATGAGGTGGCCTTCGTGCAGGGCATCCAGTTGAACAATATCATAAACGACAGATTCGATTGAGTCTCTTGTAAAAAGAAACAATGCGAAATACAAAGGAGTGTACCTCTGCTTCCTCTGCGCCTGTAGACGTAACAAAAGTGCCGCTGTCAGTGTGAACTGTTGTTCTTTTATGCTGCAATCAGTGTATGGCTATTGCAATTCGGAGAACAACCTGTAGGCTAACGGTGATGTGTGTTACCTTCCGTGAGTTTCATGCTTATTCATGTAGTAAGACAGGAGAAGGGGATCAGTTACGGTCTACATAGAGAGAGAGATCACTGATTTTATTGAAACGGACTCATTGAATCAACAGTGTGCTAATTACGTTCACTTTGCGACAGGTACACTAATTTGCATACCAATTCGGTTTTTGAGGGGACTCACGTGACTCTCCTTGGGAGGCAATTTCCGGCTTTTCCCTTCTTGGCGATCATCAGTTGAACCTGGTATCCGAGTTCCTACCGGTCTTATTCCCTGCTTGAATCCCAAACTCTATGTGGACGGAGTCATACGCTTATTTGTAATGGGAGATTCAAAGGAATGTCGGTTGGATCTTTCCTTCGTGTTGTCCTTCTCCTCATTTGGGAAAATATGTAAGATACCAAATGTGTTTTTATTTATATGGCAATACTTTTAGGGAGGATGAGACTTCCTCGACAGCTTTGTAAGCCGCACTCTCCAATGGAACGATTCGATACCTTGAAAATTGAAAACTGGGAACTCTGACATTGGGTTTAGCTTTTGGGCCGCAAGCAGGGTGAAAACGGCAGTGGTCTGTTGGGGAGATTTGCAACCTTGCTTCACCAAGGAGATATACCCCAAACATACCGAACATCATACCAACTGAAAGCTGAGACGCCTTTGTGCAGTACACTCAGTTGATGAACATTATAAACGTGAGTTTCAGCTGGAATTCAAGTGAGGTTCTCAAGGAAACCAAATTGGTGTGGAAACAGGCTTAGTTCGCGAGCTCCATGCAAGTACGGCTTGAGTAGAACATGGAGTGGACAGAAACTCTGGGACTATGCCTACCTGGTTAGCCACAAGAAGGGAGCAACCGGCAAAATTTTTCAGCAACCTCATAAGTAGTGTGCTACATGCAGGTTCACTTTTCTTTGTCTCCTTATTGGCAATGGGTTCGTAGTTGAGGCCTGCATGAGGCAACACCACGAAACTCACTTTGCCCTAATCGGAGTCCAGTACAATCACCTGTAAGTTCATCTAAAATCGAGGGTTCGCAAAAATGATCAACCGTTATATTAGTTCGAAGTCGAGTTCCTTCGGATGAACTCAATTCAATCTCTTACAATGCCGGTTTCACAACCGTTGTAACATATGGACCAATCGAGAGGAAGCGAGCATCCATCGGTTTCGTAGCCTTCTTCTTTCGCTCATCTGGATTTCACACTTGAGCCTCGCCCGCGTCACTTGAATGCCGGCGATGGCGCACACCTGACGGTCTAATGAGCGGATTTCTGTTCTGATTGGGTGACTAGCGCATACGGTTAGACATACACCAGGGGTGGGGTTAAAATTGGCTGCTGATTGGCTAAAGTTGGAAACAACACTGCCATGTGTTAAAACACACCCCTAGTTCATAGTTGAAAGAATATTTCACTCGTCTGTTGACTGTTTACTGTACAACGAGTTTCAGGCTCGTGGCGAAAATATCGACGATGATTATGATGGATCACCACTCAGAAAGCTCAGAACACAACAGGAAAATGGAAGGTGGAGGTGAAATGAACGCATCGATACGAATGCCAGCACACTCACTGCCACCAGTAGGCAATAACCAACATGCAACATATGAACAATTCAACCTTAATTCCATACATCATCAAGACCAGCACGCAGAAAGGTCCCAATCCACTATGAGTATTGGGAGATATCCTTCTGCTTACCCACATCAGTCATTCCGTGCTCTTCCTGTACGCCATTCGACACGATGGGGATTGAAATCCGGGGCTAAAAAGTCGTTTGTGTGGAAATACTTCTTCCATCCCGAAATAAGTCTAGGTGTGCGCGATCTATCCCACACGCAGTGTACGCTTTGCGATAGTCAGTTAGCGTTCAACACATCGGGAACCACAACCACCATGCTGAATCACTTGAAAAGCAGGCATATGGAGGTGGTAGAGAACGAACAACAACATCACCAAAAACAACGACTACCGCACCACCAGCGGCGCGACGAGGAGCAGAATCAACATGGTCACAAATATTTATCTCAGTCATCCGGTTATTCGTCTGCCATAGGAAGTGTCAAGACACCCAGAAACAGCTGGATCGCCACAGACAATTCGTACTCACTCAAAACATGCGGCTATATGAGAGCCCCGTTTCTTCGTCGCGCACATCGTGGACGACCACCAAACTCTTGGACAAAGTCGAGTTATGCAGAAAAGGGATCCCTAGAGTCGTATTCTGAAAAACTCAGCTACACTGAACCGGCGTCAAGAGATGGACTGCTGCAGAAAACGTCGGTGACTGATGTATCAGAGGTTAGTGATTAATGTGTACTCAGTATTCACGTTGGTACTGTAGGTGAAGAGAGCGTGGTTCACAGATAGTTGACTCTCAAACGGGCCGTGTGTCTGGGCCTTATCATCTTGGATAGTTTACACCGAAGGGGACGCACTAGGCTCCATTCACACTCTCCTCGGTCCGTAGCGACAGCTGAACTCCGAATGTCTGACATACACGGCCGCTACCAGGAGCATTTCAAATCCCACAGCTACTGGACTCTACTAGGGGCAAAACTCTGGTTCTGCTGTCACCGGCCTTTTATCTGAACTAATCAGAATAAGCATGCCATGACAAGATGATTCGGTGAACAATGTTAGAGTAGATACAAACGTAAGGTAGATGGAACAAGCAGGTTGTTGGCAGAAATAACATTTTTGAAACTGTCTGAAGGCCTGATAAACTGCTACGACGCTGAATTCAGTTGTTGCCTCAATGTTAATGTGTACTTTTAAATAAATTACGTTGTATCGTCGTTTTTTAAAGATCTGCGGAGCCATTTGCAACCCACAGCTTAGTCCGCTGATAACGATAGAACGCTGTTTTCAATAGTGGGACTATATTGCAGATGTTTATGAGTAAGGTAGTAGGGGATAACGGTATGGAAGCCCGTTTTCTGGGACCAGCTGTCAACGCTAAATTCTGTACTCGTTTCTCACTGTAATAGTAGGAGGAAGATGTTCAATCTCAGGGAATAGTGCCAATTTCACCTTACCTGTGAACATTAACTGACTGTTTATATACTACTGGCAATTCAGATGTGCAGTCCTATTTCAAACGTTTAGGGGCTAGGTGAACGCAACCACATCAACGACGGCCCACATCCAGTGGAGTATTTTTGCTAGTATTTCATCCAAAATCCTACCATTACAATCTTTTTCGGAAATCACCGAAATGTGATCGCCCAGTATAAATGAGTTAGGTTTGTGGTTGGCAAGCCCATAAAAAGGTGGCCTCGTTGTTCTGTGAGCTAATTTGGCCGAAGCTGCGACGTACGGGTTTTGTCAACAGCCACCAAGGTACAAAGTTTCATGCACTTTATTTAGTGTTGCGAAACCGTCTTTTGTGATTTCACCCTTAGCGCATGACCTAGTTTGATCATGTGAAGGAAAAATAATCCATGAGATTGTCAACAACCGTGTTAGCCTACCCGTTATCAGGTCGTCCAACTTTCAAGCACAGAGCTGAGAACTGTCGTGTGTGTGAAGCCTTCATGTATGTGGTGCAGGTGAGATGGAATTTCGTAAATCACACAAATACCTAAACAGTTGTGAAACATTGTACGAACTCACTTCCTTAACTGTAAGAGTGGACACGAGACCAAGTTAGATGCAGTAATGACCGATGTTTTATAACAAGTTTAGTTCCATAGTTGGCGAGTAGTCCTAGAAAGCTAGCATATGCACTAAATGTTTTGAGATTCTCAGCTACCGCTGTATTAGCCGAGTCATTATTAAACAGATCGATGGAAACAGGAAGATCTCAGTTAACCCAGTTCTGGATTTGTACAGAATGTGTCTTGACCTTTGTATACATCACCATCGAGCACGCTGAAAGAGACACACGTGCTGCGCGGCTGAATATGTCTGCCGACCGCAATTTACGTTTTTTGTGGTTGGGTGTCTAGGGATACATAAGAGTCTGAGAGTTCCAAGTGGAATCTAAAGATGATTTGATTCCAAGTTGGGATGTTCTGAGAGATGTACACTTCCTCAGGTTTCACCCTTTAGGACACTTTAACGCAACCTACAGTCATCCTCGGATTTCTACCGAGAAAATTAGGATATTTATCGAGTCAACCGGAAAACTCCATTGAGACATCTGGTGGAATTCTCAAGACGTTCTCGTCTGGGAAGTATAGTGAGCGAATTAGGCTCTAAACTATTCAGCATGTAGTCGTCTGTTAATGAAGATGAACTGAGTCATCGCCCAAAGCTGACTTATCTCGCTGTAACTGACACAGTGGGAGAGTGAATTTAGTACGACGCAATTCATGTCAGTTACGCGCAGTAAAACTCAAGAAACCGCAGCAGGGGACTAGTCCCTTTACAAAATGTTAGTCCTCAGAAATGAACTCCACTTTACGTCATGAACCTGTATAAGTGCGAGCTAATCACACTGCTACGTACGGCGGTTCGGAGTATGCTGAAGTTGGATCTGCATAAGTCTTCTCTGGACAGTCCTAATTTTTTATTATCATTGCTGTTGTTAGAGATCATGCGTGACCTTTTCAGTACTCGAATTTGAAATCTCTTCGACTGAAATAAACGTGTATTCACAGATCCAAAGAATTACACTGAATGCACCCAAATCATCATCGCTAACACAGACGTGTATTTGCGCGACTTTCACTTCAGACCACTTACAACACCATGAAGTAGAAGAAATCTCATGAAAGCAATACCTCCAGTGCTTTTGAGCTTTCCAGAAGGTAACCACATCCTTCTCACGAATCTACAGGGTTCCTACAGCAAGATGGACAGTACTCTTGTGGCTACTAATTATAACGGGTCAATAGACACGCAAATGATAATGCATGTCCTAATCGTACATTTAATGCCACCTGAGGTTCAACTTACTTTTCGGAGAAGTAACATCGATTTCGGATGATAAATCGCAGTGCCTTAACCAGCTTCATAACAGATGAGGTCTATCTGGTAGGAAGTTGATGTAATAAGGAAGGTGAAGGATCTGGTTTGGAGTGAAGTAGGTGACATATCTGGCTGAAATCATTTGTCCAGCTGACCTTGTCAAATGAACACAACTAAGTTCAAATGTTTCGAAGCTAATCGATTTTTTCAGTGAGTGGGAAACTGAACTAATCCATTGGCAGTGAANAGTCAAAACATCATCTGACTGCTCTTACACCGCTCTTCCGATAAGCGCCTAATCAGGACAGGTAGTTCGCTGTCTTGTGGAATAGATCAAATCCCGCTTCTCCATGAAAAGGTTATGGGAAAATGTGGTTCAGCGACACTGTGAATAGCTCAGTGTTGATATTTTGGCAGTTTTTGAAATAAGACAGGTGATTGTACTTTTCGGAGCTCTCTAAGGCTGTTTCATACCATTCAGCTACTGACACTGGCACTGTTAATTCGTTAAAACAGACAGACATACATTTAGGCCACGCGATCCTCACTCATTATTCGTTTTCATCAGTCATGGAGCAGAAGAACAAGGCGAAGGATAACAAAGTAAAATTATATTTACGAAGCACACATTTGCCAAATCACAGTGGTGTTTTTCAGAGACCCGAATGAACCATGATTTTCGATATTCCTTAATTGAAGCACCGCACAAAGGTCGCCTCCTGTTTCAGTTGGCGTGTTATCCGAGATATGACAGCATATTTTCTTGGCAAAATACAGTACTCATTAGACGGTCTTTGTGTGACTCATTCAGTCAAAGAGTATCATGAACGAGAGGTTCAGCTGGGATTCCGTTGAGTCTTCCGTAAAAAACTAAACGGTTGTGCAAATAAGTGTATTTCGCGAGGTTCATAAAATTTAGGTTCATTTAGAATATAAGGTTGACGAGAAATCGGGAACTGAGCCTACCCGATGAGCCCCAACAGGAAAGAAATCAATCGTGGGGTGTTGAACAGTAATCAGTAAATCTATGAGCAGCGTGTTCGGCCAAGAAAACGACTAATTGCTAAACGGATTGATATGAGAGGTTAGTTCCACAATCGAAAGGAGTTTTCTGGCCAGTGTGTGCAATGTTTGGTTTCGACCAGATTTATTTCACTGAACGTTAGAAGCATCGCGTTGGGGTTGCGTGACAAAATCGAGAATGAGTTGCTCAAGCTTCCTGGGCCCCCGTTTATATCGATAGTCCCGGCGGTCATCCAACAGGTTGTAGTACATGGGCCACTGTTGCTACTTCGCTCGTGCTATTCATTTGGGGAGATTCACAGTGGTTCTTTACAACCCCCCCCCATTACTCCTTGTGTCACCTTATTGTTTTTTGCTATGTGTCTGCTTGCTTAATCTGGCATGTTTTCCGTCCGTGACTGGTGAAAGTAGATCATGTGGTAACATTTCGCTATAGGTCCTTCTTGTCACTCAAGCGAACTAGATAAAGAAGATTCCGCATATCGAATGTCGGTGTTGTGTTGCCCTACGTTTACACTCCACGGCATTTTCTTCCGGCTTATATTTCGCCTTTATATATCGCGACACTATAGTTGCATACGCGTGCAGCCTTGCATGCTGCATTCAGTTTCCTCCTGGCTGTTTGCACTACTGAGGAAGTTGAAAAACTTTACTCTTTAAAGCACTCCAGGACCGAGAACACCATCATTCAATATATGTGAAGCCTGCAGTAGACACGATCTGCTACCAGCCTTTAGCATGTACTTTAGTAAAGCATACAAGCGTATCGGCGTATACTACTAACGAGGCATTCGAGTAGTCCGTGGTCGTGTCGAAGCTCCGCCCCGCATCTAATGAAAGGTGAATTTTATTACGGAACTTGTGAAACTGCTTTCCAGTGTTTGTTTACAATTGTGTAATGGTAATGGATATCCATGAAAGTTCAAGAAGTCGAGTGAGAATGCTCAGTTTTTGAAAACTGTGTGCATGTATGATGCTTACTTTCCTTCCTTGTAATTAGTTTGCAGCGATGGGTTTTCCTCCTAATATACCAAAGTATGTATTCATTGCTTCCACCACAAAAAACGAAAGTGAACCATGCTTTTCCTGAGTGGACTGCACGTCACATCTGATGATCAGGAATTCAACAAAAGTTGAGTGGTTCTTACAGCATTCCACCCATCATAAATATATATATATATAAGCAAACTATGGTACGTGAATTGCATTGAGGACTAAAACGTTGGAAACAGCCACGGAGAGCTTATTGCTAACCCAGAGATGCGATCAGCCGCATCCCTTAAATTAGGTGTCAAACATCCTGATGTCCTTTTGATCGGGCTGTTCATCACATACGGTTCAAGTCGTTCGTCATTATGATTTGATCTCCGGTGTAAATCACACGAAAATTTCATCCAGCAGCAAGTAGTCTTAGTGGATTGGGAAGCAAACGATGAACTGGAGTAGTAGAAATTCGTAGATGATGAAATGACAGTATTGATTTTGTGGGATGGAATCATCGTGTATTTTTACATTTCTAGATCAGTCGCTGAGTATGTATGGCAACGGTACGTGATGACGTACACTTCAGTCATTCTTACAATTCGCAGTGGGTAATTTTTAGTTGGGGAAATTAATAGGGGAAGCGCCACAGCCCATGCTTAAGAAGCTTGTCTCACCTTTTGAACATACTGTTATTGGTAAACTAGTCCATTTAGGACGTCTTGTTTGCTCTCATTCTCATTGTCGAATCTCATGTCTGCCTAATAATTCAGTCAGATGTGGGGCAGATCTACCTACCTCTTTCCATCATGCACGTGCATCGTTTTGAGCTTCCTTAGTCTCATTGTACAATAAATGCTATTAAAGGTTTGAATTCCAGACTTGTAGATGCGGTGAGCATTTTAGCTTGGACGCCTTAATTCGATTGAATTCCGCACCTGTGGTCTATCTCATGGACACCTGACACATCACCTTCCTCCAAACCATCTGACTAACATAGTACAGGAATCCGACTTTTGTTATCCTCGTTTCATTCTTTGCAGACCTGTATTCGAATTTTTGCAAATTATCTCTTAGCTTCATCGATTCGGGGCAGATTCGGCAGATAAGTTCAGATTATATACAGTTCCAACCCCTGGATTGTTTGCAACCGGTCCAGTGTGCTACAAGTTCAGTGTTCCAACTATGCAGTCTGCCAATTTCAAGGCACACCTTCAGGGTTTATTTCATGGCATACCTTATGTTTATTGGATTTCGTCTCAAAAAGGAAGGCGAAGGAAGTTATCTCATGAAAAAAACAAATTTTGTGGGCTTGTTGAGTGGTGCTGGGCTGTTTAGCAAAACTGAAATGGCTTACATAACATTTCACATGTCTTACCGAAAGAGTCTCGTGAAAAAAGTGCACCGGTCAGTTTAGCTGGGTATACTGGAACTGAATACGTATGCTTTGTGCATAAAACTATGTTTGTCTTTTAATCATCAAAAATGCACTTATAGCTGATGGTTGAGGCCAGGGTTACCTTTTCATTTCAAAATGAAACAGGTGACATTTCACATTCCTCGGTCATGTGCTCTTTTCAGGTAAAGGGACTTGAACATGCCATGCCTGACCGACAAACGAAAGCCGATAGACTGTACCGTGTTCTAGTGCATGGTCCAACAGTATGCTATGATCATCTGTGTAAGATGAGTCTGTTGTGCTAGTGAGGACAGCTATTTTTGTACTCATCCCGTTTTAGAGTTACAAATTACCATACCATCACAGTAAGATCCCCTAGTGATCTATCTAAAAGTGCTGTAGATGGTTTGTAGTCCGTGAATGATACGTGAATAGGGTTTGACGATGCTCAACTTCCACAGGCTAATAAGCACAAAGGGGTCTGAGTTGTCTTTAATAGTCCACGCATCATTTCCGACAGGAAACACATCTCATGTGATGTCGCTTGTCCACCTGTGTCACTCACTGGATCTTGGTTGTTTGGTTTCTTTAAGTGCGTTTTGTGCGTACTTTTAATTAAGGAGTTATCTTTCAGCAATCAGAAGTTTCAATCACTCATGGAATGCTATAGTACGAATTAGAAAAGTACCCGGCGAATTCAGTTCCGTTAGCCCTTCCTCAACAATAGAAAGGGATGGATGGACGAGTAGATTAATGTTTGCATCTAAAACAGATTTAAAACTGTGCATGAGGAAATCTCTTCAATACAATGGACTGAAACAGTCTTTCTGGCACCATGACAGCATGTTTCTTTAGCCCTGTTATGGAGTCCAAAGTGATTATCGTATCTTTCCGTGGCATCAGGATTTGTTGTGATGAACTATTACAACATATGCAATAACATCAATGCTTCTTAACCTGAAAACGGAATTTCAAACGTGACTCCTTGCCGAATAATATACGCCAGTCTGAAATGGTGGTTTGAATTATCGAGTACTAAAATTTTTGCACGTGCTATATGGAGGATATGGCTGTTTTTTGTCCCCTCAAACGGTCAATCCTATGGACTCAACCGCTAAACGGCACTCACGCACCATTTTAATGGGTCAGTCGGAGCACACCTTTCCAGGCTGAAACTGCAGAGTCCATGAGACTAAGCCAGTTTTTCCGAAAACCCAGCGGTAGATATCCTGTCAAAGTGTTGTACAGGATACGGAAGCAATCCTCACCAGAATCGGACAAAGAATGCAAGTGTACGCAGTGACATCAAACTGACAACTACTTCCTGCAAGTCATTAGGATAATGGGGCCCTACAAAAGGGTGCCAAACATCGGTGATTGAACAAAAAGTAGGCTTGGAACGGGATGAACAAAGGGGTTAGAGCTTGAATTTACTGACCGGAAGGTCTGTGGTTCGAACCCGACCTTTGTATCTCAACTTTCCCTGTCTAGGCTTGGGCAACCCGGCAGTATCCCAGCCCTCGTGCAACCTTCCGGTGGCATGGCAATTAGGCGCCGGAAGAGTGTTACAGTTGAACGACTTTAGGCTTAAATTAACTGCAACCTGGTAGGTAAACCCAGTACAACGTTGAAGCCTTAGGACCTCGAAAAGGAATAGGATTTTCTGATCTCAACTTATTCAAGCCAGTCCGGAAATAAACCGTTTAAAATTCTTTAAAAGGCAAAATTCTTTGCTTGATAACTCGAAAACCCAGTAAATCGATTCGGGATAACTTTAATCTTAGTCACGACACGTGGACTTTGGACAAATGCAGCAACTGCTTTTGGATATCTGAAGGTATATCCACAGAACCCCTTGAAGAAAGGACGTTTCCTTTGAACATTCCTTGGTCAGGGCTTTTACTGTAGATGCCCCAGTTGATGATGTGTGCAGGTGACGTTTTTGCTTCGGTATGGAACCGAGGATTTCATATGAAAAACACCTCACCAATAAAGTCACGTAGACCACTGGCAGCTTCAGCTTTCTTAAGAGCACTTTAATTGCCGGGATCCCTCATGTATGGAATTTTGGGATGACGAAAGCAAGGGCTGACAACTTGCGGGAGTTTCCATCTCATAGGGGAATCATTAGCGCGCAGTGATGATGTATCTGAAGTCTCTAACGAAACGTTTACAACCAGATAGTCAAACCCATCGAACAAATCAACAGCCACCTATCTGATCTACGACCAATTAACTCATCCGAGCTACCAAAATTTTGGTATATCGATCCATTTCACTCTTTACAGCAAGCTAAAAAAAAGTCAAGGTCACAAATCGGACAGTTAACCGTTCTTTTGGCGATCTTTTCGTTTACGAGGAGATGGTGTTCCCAGTCGGTCACTGGAAAGTATCGACAGTACGATTATTCATCCTGTAATAAATTCGAGCAGCCAAACTTTTCCGTAATTTTTTTTTCTATAGATGGGGATTTTTCACAGAAGAAAATGTAAAAATAGAATCATCAACTCCGTTTTCTCCTTATATGCATTTCTTAGATGGAGTTTTCTCATAAAGCCAACTAGATGGCTGCTGTTGACCCGTCACCTGATCATGCATTGAAACGCAAACTCATAAGTATACGAATGATAACGAAAAATACAAATTAGCCCGATGGGTGCTTCTCTCCTGATCACGCCTGATCAACTACCTTAATCCCTGATTCCCTATTATGAACCTCCAAAAGCGACCGGAAGTGATTCGCTACTTGAGCCTCTTAATGGTTCTGAAGGCAACCTACCATTTTCTATTTACTAGATGAGGATACCTAAGGGACGCCAACTAGTATTTTGTGTCATAGAAGCAGTTCTGCACCCGCGTTCTACGGCTTTGTGGAAAATATCTTGCTCACAGTTCGGAAGAAAGAAGTTATCTGGAGATGACCCATTGTGAAATGAAGTCACTGTCAGTTGACCACTACTGTAGTTCTGGATGGGTCCTTATCATACAAGCCGAACTGTCGAGCGGTTTTATCTGAAGACCTGTAAAAAAATCTCTACTATCTAATCCGATGACGAGTGGTATAGAAGCGAGGTAAATCTTATAAGAAGACTTACAGAAGATGACTGTAACAGTGAGTCAAGCTTGGTCAAGCTTGATGTCAGAGGGAATCGGTCGCTGCTTATAATCCTTTCCACGTGGAAATGTAATTACCATCAATGTAATTGTAAATCGGATTGAAGTACCTTCATAGATATAGACTTAGGATAGTTGTATTTTGATCCCTAGCCAACGTTCGTAAGATACATGGATAGAACATTGGTGTCTTAACGGGAACACAAAGAGAAGTCCAGGTTTTATTAATGGAGGTTAACACTGAATTGTGTTTCACATATCGGAGGTTATATTTGGACAACTGGGGACAATGGGCTTTCGCCGGGTCCGTTCAGGGGACTTTTCAAGGATTTTTTTAAAGTCGGCGTGATATTTCAACATGAAGTTGAGACAGGAAAGCGGTTTTCCTGTGTGTCTTTCTTTCAGAAGAAATGCTCTGAAGAATCAAACACGGAGGGCCATAACCAGCAACCCGTTTTTTCATTTGTTTTACGTCTTTTTAGATACATCAATTCAGACAAACCACTGAAATCAATTCGAAGGGGGCTGGTGGACCACCAAATTCAGCTGTCATTCAACCGGCAGATGGAGTAATGCATGAACCTCCATGGCCATCCAGTTCAAATCATGAAGGTGCTCAGCAGCCTAATTTCTCAGATCCCATGGAGATGTTCCGTCTGTCCATATTGATGACCATGGTAAGAAATCAGTTAGTCAGTCGTCCATTCTTCAACCTGCATAATAAGGGTCGTGACCTTGCAGGAATTGGACAAAAGTTACCAGATTCATCACAAATAACTCAAACAATTGTTGCCAATAAGATTGCTGCTACAGAAGTTGAAGATCGACAACCTCCCAGGAAGGTGTCTTCGTTTGATCCACAACCACCCTGGCTACTTGCACAGAGATTCGTGGAACACCGAGACTCGAGCGCACAAAATAACTCGAGGCCTTCGATGAATACTTGTCAGCAATATTTTAACTCAAAACAAGAATGTTTTCAAGAAGTGGATCCCTTTTTGCCCCCAACGAAGCTATCCTCGCCCCCATCATTATTCAAACCATGCACTGAAAGTGGTTGGGAAAGACATTCGGTTACCAATGTCACAAACCAAGTGTCAGTACATCCCAGTTCCTCCGTGGTGCATGTTTCCGAGAATTTGATACCTTCACCCATTACAGATAAGACAGTGTCACTATGCCCAACATCCTTATTTCCGACCAACCAGCTAACACTGCCTCTTTCGGAAAACTGGAGACGCCGAAAAACCAACTTGGGAGGTGACTTGTATCGGAGTTTCCAGAATATCAGAAGCCCTCAATTTGACGCCCTCTCCACCAGGGGCAACTCTCCTAAACCCCTTGATCTTAGCTATAAAAGAAGCAGAGTTGTGAACAATACCGAACACATTTCGTTTCAACATCAGGCTGGCAAAAATATGATGCACCACCCTCTAGGTGAGCAAAGGAATAATCACAGTGCGGGCAGTCCTGAGGTCCACACACACCAACGTATGGAAAGCGCACCACAGCATTGGACAGAGGGACGTATCAATGCAATGAAATCACCTCATGCAGGCCAAATCACTGCCAACAAGCCTCCAGGTAATTCAACTACGAAAAGAAAGCGGGGAAGGCCGGCGCATATTCCCATCAGTGACAATCAGGTAAGCAAAAGATCCGGCCCCTCGCACTATAGGCAAACACTTGAAAAATGAAAATAGCGACCGGAGTTCATGGGTTAGCTCTGAAAGTAACTAATTCCCTCGCTGCTCTCTGTCTGCTCCGCCCGTATTTGATGCCGCGCAAAAGGCCCAATCCACATATCCACATTCATTTGCGGCTGTTTACTGAAGTTATCTCCACGTGAACCGCTATAAAGCAAACAGACAAATGCTCGGACAGGCGGAGAACTATCCTAAAAGAGCAGGCAGTTGTGAGATGAGATCACCGATGGGATATCATTTTTCACTTAGCGTTTCCACTAAACGATAACTTAAATGCTGCCCAGGTGGCATCTGGCCATCAATTGCCACGCAACGCTGAGGGAAGAATGCTCTAGTCAAGGGAAACGGCGCGAGCGGGAATTAGGTTCAGAAGGTTACTACATCCTCATTTAGGATGATGGAAACATGGGCCTAAACCTGAGAACAGTAATGAACTAAACATATCTGAGCATCGTTTCAGGTTAGACTGCTGCCAACAGGATTGGCTGAACAAAAAAGGTCAGGGTGTATCAACAGACAAACTTCTGCTTGACAGTTCGGCTAAGAACTGACAGGGGGCTCACTCTAGCCATAACCAGACACGTCAGGAGATACTATGGTTTGACCAGCCGCTTATATTTCGCGTCAGTGTCAATGCCTGTCTCTCGAACATCTCCAGCAAAGGCTTGAAATAGAAAACAAGGCCTTGTTCGGCAGACTTCAGCTGAAGACTATAACTCCACGTTTCAAGCACACTGACCAGATAGGTATCATTTTCTGTCCTGACGATTCTAATTGCTTGAGACGGTATACCATAAAGCAACCTCATAAGCCTAAGGTGGTTTAAGGTGTAAATTTCTTCTGATATATTGCAGGAGCAGATAGAGTGAACAAGGCCTTTGCTGGAAAATTTTGCATTAATTGAGGCTACAGACGGAAGTTCGTTCTCGAACAGAAACTGTTTGAAGAATAATTTCCGGATGGTCATACAAGATGCCGCGAGTTCCTGACATATTTGGGATTAGAAGGCTCCTTCACTAGAATAAAGCTGGATATAAATAGGGAGCCCGATTGGAGTACTCACATAGCGAAATCAAAGCGAGTAATAGGCGCAAAAGGTGACAACAAAACTCTTCGGGCCATCGAGTTACTCAAAGAGTTATCTTGGAAATAGAACCCAAAACTTAGACAAAATTAGAGGCATTCAGTACAAATCGCTCCTCACCTATCACAGAAGAAGAATTTAGTCAATAGCCACTAAATGCATCGCTCAAAGATTTTTTTCTAAGACTATCTCAAGTCTTTGCACATTTCTCACCACGGAACCAGCACAACTCCCCAGCATAATGGCCTTTCTCCCTTTACGGCATCTCTACAGAAGACTGTTGCAACGATACTGCGACCGTCTACATAGCAATGAGTTTGCTCAACGTTTTTCAGCCACACTGCGCACTCGATAAAGCAACTGGCAACGTTATGTTAAAATAGATTAAATCGGAATGCACTCAAATCGCAATATCGGGTCTATTTTCCCACACTATCAGCGCACCGTCCATAGGTGAACCCTATTTAATAAGGTTTAGGTTAAGAGGTTAAGCAGTCAAGCAGAATAAGATGGAACTGTAATCCGTCGAAAACTCATTACACGTCATGTTCTGGAAGTGTACTCAGCTGTGAGAATGTCTGAGCCCTCACCGGGACCAATCAGGCAGTGGAGAGCTTTCACAGTGTTGTCCAAACAATGTGTTCGCCAACCAACTTCAATAAGGTGTAAAGCATTTTTAGCCGGTCGACTACTGAGGAACAGTCTAATCGTTTTTCTTCCGAGAATTTATCGATCCTATCAAAGGACCCGATATTTACGAATGAGTGGATTAGATAATATTCTTCTACAGAAAAACTTATTTACATACCAATGTGTTTTTTCACAGGAGACTCAACTGAATCTCTCCTCTATGATATTTTTCGACTGAATGTGCTGCACAAAGGTTACTGCGTGTTTCAGTTGGTACGATATTCGGGATATCGCAGAATATTTCCATAAAGGAAACTGCTTACAAGGTTGCTGAATGGATAAAAGTAGTTGGACAGCAGGATTAACTTGTGCAAATTTGGAATTGACAGTTATGGTCGTGTGTACAGAACGGAGTCCCAGAAATTTTTTGAGGTGTTCTTCATGAAAAAATAACAACATTCTAACGAAAGTACTTGAGTTCATGTTGGTTCGCAGTTTTCTATCCGACTATCCAGTGTTATTGCGTCAAATGCGCAATAGATATGGAAAGCCAATCGATACGAAAGTGGACATTAAAGGGTATGGATAGTCAGTTTGGAGCATCCGATATTACTACGTTTCACAAGTCCTCGAGGTTCGAGACACATCCAACTGGACTGAAGGTGCTAACTCATATTAACGGGAAAGCAGAAAGAGCAAAAAACACGGTAAAATCGGAACATGGGGTGCATTAGATGTTCACGTGTCCTGTCTTACCACGGTACACTCAAGTTTCAAACCATGACTTTCTAGATATATTTTTGGTTTGAGACATCGGTTAGGCACAGCCTCCGCCCAGCCCAAGAGTGGTTCTTTGGCTTGAAGTTGTCAGTTCACAGTTGGTCTTATGTACTAGTGCGGTTTACTGAATCACTGAGATGTTATACAACGGATATTTGTGGAGTATTTCTGACCGGTTTCGTCGGCGATGTAGACAAGCGTTATACAAATCGAACTCTCCGATTTACTTGCTCAGGTGCCTTCACCCATACGTTCACACTGATTAACACGGTCCGAGTCATACAAAATGGGCAGACTATGCTTCACAAGTGTTAGTGGTGTGTGTGTGTGTGTGTGTGGGCACTAGGTTAGCTGCACAGAAGTGTGCTCGGCCCGATTCTGCAGGCGATCAATGATATGGTTGTATAAATCCTCTCTTCTGACTTCTAGGCGGATATGCACTTTCTTACGAAGTTTTCTCCGCTCTGGACAGGTCCGAATTAGGATGGTTTAGTACGAAGTATCTAGATATCCCCTCCTTAAGAATTCTTTGTGTATTCTGAGCTTTAGTTTCCAAGGTTTATAAGGATAAAATTCTGACGACAGTGGTCAACAACGGGTCCTCTTATAGGTGAGAAGCGCAAGAATTCCACTATGATAGGGATTTCGGTTGATGCTTCCGCTGTCCCTCTCAACGAGAAAAGGCACAAAAGCAAGTCGCTTTCTGAATTAATCTCAGATTCAACGTGTTTGGGTCCGGTAATATCTCGTTTATGTTCACGGCATCTTCACATATGATAAATTTGTTGTCAGTTTAGCGTTTTTGCTACTACTAATATGTCATTTTTACTTGTTCTCCGGGATAGCCACAGAAATGTCTGCAGAGGTGGATCTGAAGGACCGTCCATGGCTGCTCCACCTGTCTGGTGAAATGCACTTTTTACGTTTACGTAAACATCACTCAAGTGGATAGAAACAAGACACTCCACATGTATCACATGCGTTCTCTGGTTTCGAGCCTTGACTCACTGGATATTCTTTTGTTTTCAGATGCACTTCCAACTATCTGCTTCCACACATCAGAAAAGCGAACCTTGGAGTCCGCTGTCCTTTGCCGTGGACCGGCTGACCATCAGTAAAAGTGACGAAGTAAAAACTAAGCCCGACGCAAATGACTCCATACAGAGGAAACATCCACGAATGACAAGTACCTACTCTCCACCGGTCTCGGAACAGCAGCAACAGTCATCCTTTCGTCTGGGTGAAAGACCAAATGAGCTATCCCGGTCTGAACTTGACTACCGACTAGCCTACTTTCTTGTTCGAGATCTCCAGCCTCCAGAAGTTTTGAATGAAACTGGTTTCAAGGTAACATGGTTAAAGAAGCTGCCCCACTCCCTCTATTTATCTTCTTTTTCTATCCTTTCAAACCCATAAATATTGTGAAAAGGCAAAGGCGCGCTTGGCTTCTTAGCCAAGTTTTTCTGGAAGAATCACCCTCCCGAAAACTTAACTCAAGAAGAGACCACTTTTAGTTGATCATTGAGGCGTATTTCAATGAATTAACCCCTGTGATTGGAAATGTCCTGGAATAATAGGCTAATTTTGGTTCACCCACCGTAATTTTCCCGTTATTTATCTACTGGACAGGTTAATGTGACATTATGAGGATCGGAAAAGTCGATCCTACAGAGGCTCTTAGAATCAAAATTCACTGTACGCCTGCCTCTGAACTCTCTACGGCGCAACTACTAAGTGTCGTTCATTCTCCGGATCAGTCACTCCAGTTACCTTAACAAAATGAAAGCGGCATAGCGGCTAAATCTGACTACAGATTGCATTTTTCGCAGAAATGCTGAGGTTAAACGGCGGGGATGTTGAAAATATTAAAGCAAACCAGAAAAAGTATCACAAACGTTCTTATTAATGGAGAGATACCTTCTAAAAGGAAACTGCCCACAAGGTTACCGAAAATTCTTCAAAAGCCCACGACCGGTTTTGTTCTTCTTGGGGCTTATCAGGTAAACGCAGTCCCCTAGTTTCCGTCAACCTTATGTTCTACCTGAACCCGAATTGGACTGTTTACAAATCAATTTGGTTTTCACAAGAGACTGCACTGAATCTCTCGCTTATGATCTTCTACAACTGAATGTGCTGCACACAGGTCGCCTCATGATTCGGTTGGCACGATATTCGTGATATCGCAGTATATATCCATAAAGGGAACTACTCACACGGTTGCTGAAAACTCTTCGAAAGTCCACGACCGGTTTCGCCTTCTTGAGGCTCATCAGGTAGGCGCAGTCCCCGGGTTTCCGTCAACCCTATTTTCTAGTTGAACCCAAATTGAACCGTTTTCGAGAAGTATACTCATTTGCAAATCAGTTTGGTGTGCAGCACTTTCAGTTGTAAAATATCATAAACGAGAGATTCAGTTGAGTCTCTCGTGAAAACCAAATTGATTTGCAAATGAGTTTATTTCTCGAAGAGAAAATCGATATCAACCAAAAGCGACGACCTGGAGGCTCTGACTTTAAATTAGCCAACAACGAAATGTCTTAATGAACCATTCCAGTGTCTTCTGTTCGCAAAGTCACAGTAGCAGACAGTGAAGTGGTTTGTGCCCCCTACCAATGGGCCATTGCGTGTTTTGCGGTGCCATTATCTATATATTCACCAGAACGGTATGATCTCTTTTCTCTGGTTATGACAGAAGCCATAAGTTTGTTTCAACACACAGGTGAATCAGCAGGTATGTTTAAGCAGTGAGCGCGTTGAGCGTTTGCAGATCAGACTATAAACCCTCCAAAACTACACTGACAAAAAAGCCCCGCTAAAAATATCGCTGTTCATTTGATTTAATTCTTCGCCTACTGATTCACTCGAGGCTTACTTCTCTCCGAACATGACACTTGCTAACTAGTTTGGGACCTCCCCATCGGCCTTTTTTGATAATCAATATTCACGCAAACATAATGTATTGAAAGTCAGTGCGGTATTAAGTGTACCAGTAATAACTGGGTAGCTAAGTTAGTAACTGACTGCAGACCGCCAATTTGAAGTCGGTCTCTGCTTGTCATTTGTTGCGGCCATGATTATGTAATGCAAAACGAGAGGTGGTGTGTTGCTGGAAAATCGATATCAACCAAAAGCGACGACCTGGAGGCTCTGACTTTAAATTAGCCAACAACGAAATGTCTTAATGAACCATTCCAGTGTCTTCTGTTCGCAAAGTCACAGTAGCAGACAGTGAAGTGGTTTGTGCCCCCTACCAATGGGCCATTGCGTGTTTTGCGGTGCCATTATCTATATATTCACCAGAACGGTATGATCTCTTTTCTCTGGTTATGACAGAAGCCATAAGTTTGTTTCAACACACAGGTGAATCAGCAGGTATGTTTAAGCAGTGAGCGCGTTGAGCGTTTGCAGATCAGACTATAAACCCTCCAAAACTACACTGACAAAAAAGCCCCGCTAAAAATATCGCTGTTCATTTGATTTAATTCTTCGCCTACTGATTCACTCGAGGCTTACTTCTCTCCGAACATGACACTTGCTAACTAGTTTGGGACCTCCCCATCGGCCTTTTTTGATAATCAATATTCACGCAAACATAATGTATTGAAAGTCAGTGCGGTATTAAGTGTACCAGTAATAACTGGGTAGCTAAGTTAGTAACTGACTGCAGACCGCCAATTTGAAGTCGGTCTCTGCTTGTCATTTGTTGCGGCCATGATTATGTAATGCAAAACGAGAGGTGGTGTGTTGCTGTTTCCCCAGTTCTTCAACGTTCTGCGCAACCCTTCCTCTCTATTCTCAATTTTAAACAAAGCTAAGCACTACTATCTCCATGTGGCCTTCAGCCATCTCCTGACCCTGTTTTTTCTTGTGTCAGCTAGGATTCAATACTTGATACGCATTTTTGAAACTTATTGACATCCGATTCCTGGTCCCATTTCTGACTTGTTAAGACCTGCAACCATCTTTAAAAGTTGTCTTGGGATTGGACGACTTGCCACAAGCCCTAAAGTATCTCGGTAAAGAAGCTGCTTCAAGGTAGCCCAAGATGTACGCAACCGGTTACGTTTTGGGCAGGATAAATCGATTTCAAGCTTTATGTAGCATATTACTTGTAAGATTATTGAAAACCCTTCGCCAAACCACCACCGGCTTCGCCCATCTTCGGGCTCGTCAGGTATGCCCAGTCCCCGTGTTTGTGCCAGTTTCCTATTCTACTTGAATACCACGCTGTTCACTGTTGGCCTAACACACTCGCCTGCAAATTGCTTTAGTGCTATCCACAGGCCTAACTGAATCTCTCTTCTATGCTGTTCTCCAGATGAATTTCCTGCAAAAAATATCCTCACATTTCATTTGGCATGATGGTCGAGATGTTGCAAGATATTTCCCTGGCTTAGCATGCTGATTTTACACAGACGCTTTCATTCTTACCTAGATTTCAGAAGGGTAGTCTCCATTTGAATGTGCTCCATCAATGGAACATATGTGCATCCCGGAAACCCTACCAAGTGGAACGGCAGACGGATTTCGCGCAGTCGTGTATTTGGCGAATCTTGTCAAAGTTGGGTTAGAATAGAACATAAGTTTAAGGGAAACTCAGGGACTATGTCTGCTTGGTGAGGTCTCAAAAAGATGAAGCCGATCGCCGACTGTCGAAGGACTTTCAACAACCGTGTGAGTAATAAACTGCATCAAGAAACTGTTGTCACCTTCAACTAGCAATGCCTAACACCTACCCTCACTTCGAAGTGAACCACAATCATCGGCAGCGACGTGGCGTCACTCAACCATCACCAGTCCTGTTCAAAATGACGAACATCAGCTGGAGAGCATGACGAGGAAATGACGTCATATCACTAAACTCTCCTTGATTTGATGTAGCTGCTAACACAGACCTTTCCGTTCGAATAGATCACGTGTGTGTGTGTGGGGGGGGGGGAACAATGAGGATGAGGATAAGATAGCCGTACGATGGGATAGAGTAACACAAAACCANACAATGATGAGAGGAAAAAGATAGCGTACGATGGGATAGAGTAACACAAAACCACTCAACTACTAACGAGTCTCAATGGTCTTGGGTGATTTTGTGGTTTTACAAGAACACCTCATCATCGTAGAGTATCGCTTCTATTGGTTCCTGTTCAACCTAAGCCAGATATAGACCACCGGTTCCTAACGCCATAGATTCCCAAGACCATTCTGCATGTGCCTCACGTGTAATCCGCGAGTATGCAAGTGCAATAGGCATATGGAGTATTCAGAATGAATCAAAAGCATAGTTCGCTTCGTAAAGCTGTTGGAAGCAACGAGATATAAAAGCTGTCATTAGTTCAGTGCAAGGAGCGTCCGATATGGCTCTTACTGCTTAACCCACCTCGGGGAATGACCTAGTTTCGGCTCCTTTAAACCTGCTTCTTCGAATAGCATAAAACACATTAGGATTGGTCTACCTCCAGAGGAGTCGAGTAAAACAGCCATAACTGACCGGCGGTGTGATATAAAAATGTTACCAGTGCATTACTCACCTGATGGAAATCCTACTTGATGCTTCCGGGTACGTATCCAATGTGATGGAGTAAAAAGTCACATCATTAAAAAGCCAGAGGCCATTATGTTATACACAAGAGGTACACCCACACGTTTAAAGTCGTCAGTTTTCAAAGTAAGGTTAAAATGCCTGATGCGTATTACTCCGTCACAGAGGCAATCAACCGAGATATGGATATCGACTCTGTGTGCACCAACGTAACCTAGCAACTCAAAGTTAACCGCGATTGACAGACAAAGGAATCAGTTGAGAACCTGAAAACCATGGAACCAGGTAACATTTGAGCTCAAAGTTTATGTAGATGCTGACCAGATACGGAGGATTTGGTTATCCGAAATTCCGGTCGAGACCCGGTCATTATGACGTGTACAAAGGCAGGCACAGTACTACTCAAAACCTACGCCCAAACTACGACGCAAAGCTAAGACCCTACACCACTCCGACTGCAGCCAAACTAGCCAACTTTTAGAACAAAAAGTGATCGATGAGTGATGGGTGCTTATCCGGAGTGACATTAAAACGGCTGAAGAATGAGTTCTAGGCGGATCTGGGGGAGTTAAGTGGTTTGAAGTGGTCAGTGGTCACATTTTTTCACTCATTAATTCTTAGGCTACCTAGCTGATATCAACACTCGACGTCCGACATGGGATAAAGTGTCTTGGTTTGTGTAACCGGTAACTTTACCTGGAAAAAGTTATCTCTGGGAAGCTCGAACCTGGACAAAAAGCGAATAAAGTTCCCAGAGAGGTCCTCTATCAAAAAAACCTCGTCGCCAAGCAGAAAAATTTGACGTGGGTGTAGCATCCTCCGATCTACATGATCACATAAATATGATTTTAGAATTTCAGCAACCAGCCACTTGGAT